GCTTGGGATACCACCTTTCAGTAATAGCATTACGACAGAGCAGTCCCAGTCGCTCGGAAATAAACCAGTAGGCAGCGACAAGTAGAAAAGCTCAGGCATGGAAAGCGAGATAATGGCAGATAATAACCTGGGGATCAGTGGGTGCTTTTCACGAAGTCCGAAAAGTATGGACCCCACAGGACTGGCCAACAACCAGTGTATGTCTACCACACCCCGGAAAAGGTGGGACGAAAGCCGCATGATGCTAATCCAATTAAACATAACGCGCACCTCTACGAAGGACAGCTATTTCGCATTATTTGTCAGGCTATCCAATCGGAGCCGTGTACCTAACCGCAAAGCACACACCTGTTTACCTCGGGCAGGAATTTACCTCTGTCCCAAGATGTGGGCTCTGATAACTGTTAGCCCCTAGGTCAATGATGAGCACTACGCAAGCTGGACACCTGGTTGTGGACAGACAGGCTAAATCGCTGTTTGGACAACGGTTAGATTTGCCAGATAAGCCTAGCCACATGGTAAGCTTCCTTTCTTAAGTGGATCACTGTTTCAGTGATGGAACGCGAAGATAAACTCACATCGGTGAATTTTATGCAACCTGTTACGTTAAGTCGCTGATGCACAGCGCGTGCTTATTCTTCCATTATTAAGAGTGCGGGCTTACAGCAGCCCAGACAGCGAGACGATACAACAGCATAACCTCGGGAATGCGGCCTGCAAACGGTCGGTACGTGTTAAAACTGATGAAGAGGCTCGTAAACAGGAAATGTGTACAACGACCGAAATACGGGGCGGCCTAGCACCACAACGGATGAGAGTTCAGTTAGTGCTGTTATCCACGAAGTAACCAAACGGGCGGGTCTCAGCATCCGTACAATCGCTGAAAATTGTGACACCACCCGTTATACAGTTCAGCGGATTTTGAAAGAAGGAAAACTGCATCAGTATGGTGCACGTCAAGTGCAAGTGTTGAACCCATGCGATCCGGAGAAGCAACTTGCATTTTGCAACTGAGTCTCGAATCACATGGATATTCACTCCTTTATTTTCACCGATGAAGCAATGTTCCAGTTTCACGGAACACAGAAGTAACACTTTTGGGCGGCATCAAATCCACGACGCTGCCGAGGTTCCCGTATGCAACACAGTCCCATGCTACTGGACTAACTGATTAAAATATTGTCGGACCATTTTTCTTTTCCAGTAATATACTAATGTCACACGTTTCCTAGCATCGTCGTACAAAGAAATGCTACAGACCTGCGCACTTTCACAGCTGCAGGTTGAGGGTGTTTCCAGCATCATTTGGTGGCAACATGATGACGCACCTGCCCATTATGCACAAACGGTGCGGGAATATCTCAACGTCATGTTCGCTCACCGGTGGATCGGTCGCGGAGGTCTAATGCAGTGGCCTGCCCGGTCACCACATTTGAACCCTTTAGATTTCTTCCTATGGGTTTATTTGATGCGAAGAGTACACAAGACAACGCCTATTTCACTGAAGCAACTGAAGGATAGTATTGCCAACGAATGCCGCGCCAGTAACACGAAAACTGCAAAAAATGCTGGCCAATTGCCCCAGGCAATTTCCGCAATGCAAGCAGAACGCCGGCGGGCAGGTTGAGCCTCTCCTTCGTTGACCGATATCTCACCATGTTATGTTGTTCGCGTTAATATACGTGTTCACCGTTAGTACCGATTTCTGGACTATACTGGTGCACGGGTAAATGGTGCCAAAGGGGTGTCGAGCCAGAATGAATGCAACGAGCAAAGCTGATTCAACAGCGCTTACAGTGACCACTTCTATGCAAATTGGTTCGCAATGCCAACACTTGCCTTTCATGGTTATGCCTAAGAAATACGGGGAGGATGTGGACGAGATGGTAGTTTGAGAATAGCTTAGGCGGTTCCGTAGTTTTGTGTTCATCGGCGTATAGACTCCGGCGTGGGATGAGTGCATCTAAACAATAACCTACTGATCACAGAAAAATGGTTCTTGGCGTTGTGAAGCAGAATTCAGCGAGCGTTGGATTGTTCACCCACTAATTGGGAACGTGAGCTAGGTTTCGACTGTCGTAATAAGTTAGTTTTACCTTAATAATGCGTACAAGGAAACAGTGAAGTACAAACTGGCCGTTGCTATGGTAATCCTGACTAGTACGAGAGAAACCGCAGGTTCTGAAATTTGGTATATGTGCTTGGTCGAAAAGCAAATGGTGCGAATCTACCATCTGAGGGATTAGGACTGAAAGCCTCTAAGTCTGAATCCCGTCCAGGTTTGCAACGGTGCACTCTGTGATTTTCACATGGTAAGGCAAGCTTACGCATTCCTGTCAGCAACTGGACTGGGCTATGTGCTCCGTCATGGGTGGTAGGTCCGGTGTAATACCAGGGTGATTTGAGCAAAACTTCTGCGGAAATTGAGGTTTGGAAGTAGACACGTTATCCAAATGTGGAATGAGCGTGAAGACAATAAATGGTTTGCAGACGACTTGCTGTTTTGTCTGGGAGGCGTAAGTGTTCCAGTAGCTATCACACTGCGATACATTGAGTTTTATTACTGCATGGCGCAATGTTTTGAGAGCCTGACTGTCATTCATTTCCCGTCTTCGAGCTACGTTGGACAGTATACGTGACAACACACACGTGTGCTGTGGTCCCACGATTTGTCAATCAGCTTTTCGAGCCAATGAGCTTCGCGCTTTGTGGAATACGTGAATCTCAGTATCCGTAGGGATTAGAGATTGCCTAGAAATGCAGCTTCGCAGTTCCATGCTAAACAAATATCGCCTCATCATTGAATATGTTGGAATGAATGCTCATGGGCGGCAGTGGAGACAATTTTCGGTCCCGTCACGGTCACTGTGAAACAAATTGGGCAGCGTACTCCCACTATTTTCCTGCAATTGCGACCAAGAAAGTGAAGGGAGAATAGGTTATGAGTTGCATAAAATTCATCAACATGAGTGTATCTTCGCGTTCCATCACTGAAACAGTGATCCACTTAAGAAAGGAACCATACCGTATGTTTAAACTTATCTGGTAAATCTAACCGTTGTCCGAACAGCGATTTTAGCCTGTCTGTCCACAACCAGGTGTCCAGCTTGCGTAGTGCTCATCATTGACCTATGGGCTAACAGTTATCAGAGCCCACATCTTGGGGCAGAGATAAATTCCTGCTCGAGGTAAACGGGTGTGTGCTTTGCGGTTAGCACGCGGCACCGATTGGATAGCCTGACAACGTATGCAAAGTATCTGTCCTTCGTAGAGCTGCGCGTCGTGTTGAATTGGATTAGCATCATACTTAATTCGGTCCATTTTTTCCGGAAGGGCGGTACAATGATGAAATCCAGGCTGTCTAATTCGATAAGGTTGATATCCGTCGAACTCGGTACTCGTTGATTTGTAAATACGGAAGCAAAGTGCGCCGTTAATGTGGACGCGTGATCAGTGCTGGAGATTAGAGGCTGTCTAACAGAGTCCCTTAACACGGACATTGCCTGAAGGCCTCAGGCGTCGTTTTACCTAGGGAAAAATCCTCTTGGGTGCCGTCTTTGCTGCAATTGCAAACTGCTCTTCGAAGATTCGGTGTTGTTCTGTTTTCGTGTTGTTGCAGTGATTTTGCTGTCTCTTGTACACTCTGTAATCTTTGTCAGAGCCAGATAAGACGAATTTGTTCCGTACCCTTCGTCGCCGTCGAGACAGTTTGCTGTAATACTTGTCAAACCAATGTGGCTTGAGTGATCCAAGTTTCGGATAATTGAATGGTACAAATCGGGTGTACAGCGATTTTAATCTCTCTTTAATGATAGACCAACAGGTTTCAACAGACGAACCCTTTCGTAACGAACAGTCCAACTGCCTCGCTGCTCGAGTGAGGTTATTTAGGTCCGCCTTCCAGTAGTCGAAAACTGGCTCCAGCGGAGGAGAATACGGGCATCAGCAGTTCCAAGTTGGCTATGACCATCGAGTGGTCACTCGCCCCCACGGGTTCTGATAGCTGAATGTCATGAACACGTTGCCCACGGCTGGTCGATAGCAAGTTTAAACAAAATGGAGTCCAGCGCGTGGTTATGCGAGTCAGCTGGTTGATGTGCTGTGTGGCCCAAGGTTTATGTATCAGTTCCGCGAACTACTCGACTTCACGATGACCGGGGAGAAGTTCTATCTCAGGCCACTGAAGTTGTAGTAAGTTGAAATCTCCCATAAGCAGGAACTGCGGAGGAATCACGTGGTTGCGGGCCGGCAGTAACCAGTCCAAGCAGCAGCTCAGTGGACTGAGATAGACAACACCGACGAGCAGTTCGCTGCGCCTGAGGTGAACCGAGCACCATAACCGTTCAGATAGACCATCGACGTTGCGGTAGGTGCTCACGAGTCTCTCACACAAGGAAGACCTATATAGCAGCACGCCACTGTGGTTATTTGATGGTATACTGCAACGGAAGGACGAGCAGTCGATAATTTCTATTTCATGGGAGGTTAGGTCAGGACTTAACCATGTTTCAACAAGGCCTAAAGCTTCATAATCAGTGAGAAAAACAGCTCTGGCTGTTCAGGTGCTAACGTAGTTTGATCAGTCTTCAGTCCGCTAGGTAGAGAAATACAGAGGGCGCGAAAAAACGCTGACTTCTAGGAAGTACCACTGTGAAGATAAACCGACTCGATCTGAAACGGGGCATATCGCGAAGACCAGATGACGCGCTGGTTGCACGAAGCCGTGTGTCCGACAAAATGAAGCCGCAACAGACAAGGTTCGTGGCATTTGCCACGTTAGAGATGGTTGCGATAGAGGGTATCAACAAGTAGCTCAGTGAAGAGCTGAGCGAAACAAACAAGTCAGTGATACAGAAAAACATAAGCTGTCACAAGCAAGAGTGACAGTGCAACGTGGAGCAAGGTAGCTGCCGATTAGCATACAGCTGTATAGACACACTAAACAACGGTAATGCGGTACTGAGAAACACCTACAATCAGAAGAACAAAAAGAACCTCACCGGGATGCACAGTAGAAGCGTTTCCGTCACCTTCTGCAAGAATGTCCGTTCCCATAATATAAGGTCTTTTAGTTGACTCTTTATGGCAGATATCAGAGGAGAAATCCTCTTTGAAGGCGGAAGCAGCATATGTGATTCCAGCTAATCGAGATTGTTCCACAGCTCGCTCTATAGAGTTCGAAGTTGGCAGCAACCCATCAGGCTGAACCACACTGGATAACTGGTGAAGTACTTCGTTCTGCAAATGCGGAAGGAGAATGCAAGTAACTTTGGTCGACGGTAGTATACTCGACAAACCATACCATGTTGGAGTCACCACGGTCCAAAACTTACTTCAAAGATTTTTTCAAGTCGTCGGGTGAAGATGCTAGGGTCACCAGGCGCACCGGGAATAACACCATCGGGATCAGACACTACACATCGGCGTCTGCGACTGACGTCGTCACGAGCAAGCTCATCCAAGCGGGACATCAAAATCTGATAATGACGTCGAACACGTTCCCTGCAATGTAACCCAACCAGAAACCGATGATAAGCACTTAACACTGGATAAAAAGCGCACAATACAAATGCCGAAAACAGAGGAGATCAAACGGTCTAGGCAGCACCAAGGTAAAGATATCAAGCACACAAGAAAGGCCAAACAAGAATGCAGTGTTCCATCTGTCAAAGTATTCGCCGCCAAAAACGTGGAACAAGTATAGCTGTCACGCGTAGACGGCAATTTAACAGATCCCTATCTCAAATCGTAAGCTTCAAACAGGATCAAGCGGTGGCGGAGGGGAACACCAATAGAAACACAGCAGATAAAGAAAAGAGGAGTGTCGTCAGTCTGTAGATACAGTTACTGGCATTTGTAGTCTGAATAAGTCAGTGTGCTTGGGTTGAATTCGAAGAAACCAGTAACTTGGACCAGTCTACCTGGAGATAACATTTATGTATAGTTTGCAGTCATCGAACTGTCAGAACGAAAAAGACTGGCGGAATGGTAGTTCTCATAGAAGAGAAATGAAAATAGAGGGGAGGCGAAAGAAATGAGGGATCGAAAAGCAGTTGTGCTCTGTTTAATATCTCGCGTTTTCATGTCTTAACTATTGGTACTGCGGTACAGTGGCTGAGGTGTTTCTCTCCTTCAGATAACTTGTGATGATGAGGATGACAATGTCGGTGACACCACAACGCCCGTACCAAGGCCACTACACAGGTTCCATTGCCACTGTGCCATTCCACGGAGCAATAAATCAACGGAAATGAGAGGTCAGAGAACGCAAGTGGAAAAAAGGATCCGTGTGCCAGATTGTCTGACGGAAAACGTGACGGAAAAATCTGAGTCCAACCGAAGTAGAAAGTTGCTCAGCAACTTCCTGCTCTCTATCTCTGCTATTTGACAATGCCACCCTCGGCCGAAGTGCTGGCGGCCGAAAATGCTATATCGCGCTCTAGCACACAAAAGTTCGGTTACTTTATTAGACGTTTCTTCAACCCCTCATCCTTGGTAACCACGCTTCTGTTTCCCATTCCATAACACCGTGCCGCCTTGGGCGAGTGTTTTCACCACAAGGATCAGCAATTTAAGTCCGAAGGTACGCCTCCAAGTAGTACTGGCAAACCTTCTCTAACGGTATGTTCGCACTTCAAGCTGGCAACCTTTAACGTCCGCACGCTGATGCCGATCGGATCATAAACAGTCCTTGCTCGTACGCCTGAGACTACTGCCACTGATGTCTGCTGCCTCGCTGAAACCCGAGTACAGGACCCTAGCAAAACACTACGACTGGTTACGCAGTCTGCGAGTTCCACTGGCATTTTCACATTGCGCTTATCTGGAGACGCAATCGCCGAAGCCGCTGGTCTTGCCGGCGTGGGGATTGCGTTAAGCACACGTGCTGAGGCCGCTCTACTAGACTGGATCCCTGTCAACAGTCGACTCTGCGCTATCCGACTTGAGACCTCAGTGCAACTTTCCAGCCGTGGAGCCAACAGACGTTGCTTGTTCGTTGTAGCAGCGTACGCTCCCACAGACTGCAGCCCGGAGTCAGTAATAGACGAGTTCTACTGTCAAGTGTCCGAGCTTCTCCGATAAAAGCGCCGTACAGACATCGCAATGCATGCAGGGGAGTTAAACGCGCAGGTCGGTAGAACTGAAGTTGAAAAGTGTGAACTCGGTGATCTACATGGTCACGGCACTCGCAGAACAGATAACGGTGATCGCTTACTTCAACTTTGCGCCAATCACAGGCTCTTCCTGCCGAGCACTAGCTTTCGGTGATCCTGGAGGCCACCGTAAGATGGCCAGCCATGGATGCAGATTGACCACATCGCCATCAGTTATCGCTGGCGGGGCTGCATACAGGATTGTGAATCAATCTGGAGTACGTACCTCACTTCGGATCACGCGCTCGCGTGTGCCAAGATTGCGTAAGTTTTGGTGGCTCCCGACGGCGTCGCCGGAATTGGTTTGATGCAGCCAAACTTTCTGCCTCAAGTGTTCTCAGCGCGTTTCAAGGTAGGTTGGCCTCCAATCTCAGGAGTGCCTCATGCTCTGACGTTGGAACGTACTGGGCACATATCCGCAGCGCCATGCACAACTCTGCGACCCTGGTCTGTGGTTTCACCAGTAGTCCTGTCAACCACTGGATCTCTGCACGATCCCTCCAACTTCTCGAAGCTCGTCGGGCAATTCCACCTGGTGTTGAGTATGATTCACTATGCAGGACCACTAACGCTGAACTCAAACAGATCCTCAGGGATGACCGGGAGGCTTGGTTGACGCAACGCGTCGTTGTGATGGAGCGGGCAGCAAGCTCAGGGAATTTCCGAAAGCCTTTTCAAATGATCTAATCCACTAAGGGTTAAACGCTGACTGTAAGCGAAGTTTTGTGCGAAACCAACGGTGAGCGAATTCACTGCCAGCAACGTCGAGTTGTGTGCTAGGATGAGCACTGTGAGCAGCAGTTCAACTGGTCTGCAGCAGCGATGATCTCCCATTCGGGAATCCGTAGTGCTCTATTGGAGGAACACGCAGCTTTTGACACAAGTAGTAAAATGGACGCCAGACAAATGATGGAGTTGCTGGGATTCTGTCTAACAACACATTTCACTTTCAACGGCCACACTTACCAGTAAATAAGAGGAACACCGGTGGGATCGCAGGCTGCTGGACTGGTAGCCGAAGCAGTGATGCAGGCGCTAGAACGAATAGCACTCCCAAAGGCGAAACCGAAACTTTGGGTGCGCTACGTAGACGACACATTCGTCATCCTCAAACGCTCCGAATTAGAAGAGACACATGAGCTAATCAACAGTGTGTTCGACGGCATCCAATTCACGAGGGAAGAGGAGAACGATGGGCAACTACCATTTTTGGACGTTCTCAAACGTAGGACTGGTTCAGGTCCACTCGAAACGACGGTCTATCGAGAATCAAGACATACGGACCAGATCCTCAAATACAACAGTAATAATCCGGCAGTCCACAAGCGCAGCTGCGTGTTAAGCCTTTTAAAACGAGCACGGAAACATAGTAGCACGCAGCAGCTGAGGCAGACGGAGGAAGACCATCTCTTTAGCCTGTTCAAACGGAATTCATTCTGCGCTGCCTGACCCCACATAAAGCAACACAACACACCTCAGCAAATGCAATGACTGAAAAGCGAACCGTGTTACCTTGCATCAACGGAATCTCGGAAATGACAGCAAGACTTTTGTTGCCTTTAGGGGTCAAAATGGCCTACCAACCAAAAGAAATAATACGAAATAAATACTTCAAAGTGAAGGATAAACTTAGTAAGTGGAAAACATCTGGGGTAATCACAAGATATGATACCGAGACTGTGACAAATACTAGGTAGGACAAAGAGGAAGAAGGCATGGCACACGACTACATGAACATAACCTAGCCATCCGCCGTTATGCTGAGAACTCTTTGATGTCCGTGCATATGAATGCCGAAGGCCACCAGTTCCACTTGGAGCACGTAAAAATCCTCGGGAGAGCCACAAGCCGACAAGCACGTGAGTTTATTGAAGCCTGGTATTCAAAGCAGAACTGGATCAATAAGCATTTAGGTCTCGAAGTCGCTTACGAGGCTCTGCGAAATAGGACCGTAAAGCTTGAAAGCTTGACATGCGTGAAGTGCGCATGACACGTGTACTGCGTGGAGTTGAGTGTGGCATTGACGGCAAATTATTGCGGACCAAATTATACATCTACGTGAAAGAAAGTAATTGCTGTGCGCGTGCCGTGAACCAGAGGAGTAAATTCCACATTCTCTCTATCGGTGCTGTGGAGAAACGTATTGAGCTGGAGAAGGCGATGGCTGCACGCCTGTGTGATGTGGAATGTACAGCCTCAGTGGGCGACCTGTGATATCACATTCGCGATTAGGTGACAGATGTTGCTGAGGAGACCATCGAGGGCGCAAACTGCAAGCGGCCCCATTGGTTTGATGACAACAATGCGACGATTAGCGCAATGTCTGTCTGAGAAAAATGAAGCATTCGATGCACATGTGGCAGACCCCAGTGAATTGGGGAAAAAGAGTCAGTTTCGCAGACTACGACGGCGACTGACTCGAGAGCCACGTCACTTTATAAATGTATGGTGGACAGAGGAGGCGAAGCAGATGGAATGCTACGTCGAACGCTGCCAACATAAGGAATTCATTAACCCCTTGGAGGCGGTGTATGGAGCGAGATTGGAGCCGCCGAAGACAAGGTTCGATGGTAGTTCGAGCCATGCGTGCATGCAGACTGCAGACATAATGTAGATCTAACTTACGAACTTGGATAGTCTCTTGAAGAACTGTTTAGTGACGGACTGGCCTATATTGAACGGCCTGAAGCAGCAGAAGGTGAAGGAAAGGCTGGCGGACACACCAACAGTGGATGAGACGCAGAGAGCACTTGCTCAGCTGCGAAACGATAAGTGTGCCGGTGCCGACCTGATCCCGTTCTGCTGAGAACGTAAGCAGAACCGCCGCAGCGTTCGTAGGTACGCTGCGTGCGCTTCTATTTGATTTACTAACCGCGTGCTTGCGTGCTGAATTTCTTTATTTCTAGTGACTGGTTTGCTATATTGTCCTAATGCTTATTTTGTTACCTCACGTCGCTTAATCGAAGGGTAGTTAACTTTGCTAATTTTTTCGCGTTTATTGCATGTTCCCTTATTATGTCTTGTTCTAACATCTTGAGTTTATTGTGGATTTATGGTTAACCCATTTAATTCGCACGCCAATTTTGCGAAGAGTTATCGCAACGTATTCGCACGGTCCTTTCGATCTATTTTATTTGATATTGTCATTACAAGTGATTGGCTGTTATTTGACATCCCCGATGCGGCTGCGCGTGATGGGTATGTTGACAAGGTGCTTATCTGTCTATTATCATGCGTTTCGATGACATCGCCTACAGGAGACAGTTATTTTTTGCTGGAGGGGACGGGATACACGGTCCTCGTGGCCGTGCGAAGCTCGAACAGTGGTTCATACATCCAGTGTGGAGTGGGATACGGCCAGGCCAGCGCGTTGTGTACGTCTGGTGCGCATGATTCCATACATAGATAGACAGTAATACGGCTACTTTGCATGTTGAAGGAGTGTGGGCGGGCTCTGTTGATGACAAGTGCCTCCCATCCACATGCCAACGGTCTTATGCCCTCGGATTTGGGGTGTGTGGATGGAGCTGTGGGTGGTGCAGCGCAAACCACCCATGTCCCCTTGTGTAGGCGCAGGTGTCCTGTGGCTGCGCTATGGAGGCCGCAGTGACAGGCAAATCCACACACGGATGCCGCATATCATATATTGGTCATAATCTCTAGTACATACACGGTGTCATCGGGACCATGGTGCAAAAGGAAAACAAGGTCAGCATGAGAAGCGATCAAAACAGGCAACATTTTTGTCTAGTTTTCCACCAAGTGCTACTGGTTTTGTTAACAGCTTGTGTTAGATCTTCACGTTTTCTCGCTATTCCGAATTAAACATCCAAAAATTCTAACCCAGCCGACGAAAAATCAAAAGTTCAACGACCTTGACAGCCAAAAACATTAACAAAAACGCCGCCAAATGCTGTACCAAGTACGCCAGACTTACACCCAGTACATAGGGGGCTTCTAGAAAACGAAGGTTAACTGGTAAATTTAGCAGCCTCGTCGCCAAAACTCCGTATGCTGGCAATCAGGTGAAGGGACGGAAGATTCCGGAATATTCGAAATCGATGCACGATCGAAGATAATCGATTAATTGCTAAAATAATGGGTTTTCCTTAATGCTTATACCTTTTCCCGGATAGTTTGTTTTAATAGGAGATAGAGATTCACGCCCGATACTGTTATCGGTTCCGAGCCGTGACTACAAGGGTCTCCGACCAGGGACACATCGTATCACTGAAATCCGAACCACGGAGTAGAGAACAACCGGCCGACGCCAACTGAATCATCAGCTTTTTCATGTGAATTCTTTAAATTGGAGGTTCGAAACCGCGGTTCGACACCTGTGCAGAAACTGCGAACAAAGCCAGACACAGAAGACGATGAGCGGGCATGCACAATACGTGTCAAAGCCACCGCAGCTGACGTAGCATGAAGGGCTGCTCGAGAGATTGGCTGATCCCACCCGAGACACGCTAACTTCCACATTGGTTACGTGGTGCAGCCACGAGACATGGGCAATGGACAGCAAGCAACGGTGCTCGAAGACAGACAGACAGCGCAGGTCAATGATACTAACAGGCCAAGTCTGGCAACCGTACAAAAGTACTGCGCGGACAGTCGCACAACAAACCCGCCCTTTGACGTATAGATGGATGTCATGGCAGCGCCAAAAGTGCCTCAGCTTAGAGAGAGCGAGGCGAGCTCTTGAGATACGCATCGAAATCTCGTCGCCAACAGCCCACCAGCAGTGATGAAGCTTCCAGGGTAGACAAACCTATCCGCAACCTCGTGTCTCACCGCCAACAGTGAGTGCAGGCAAAGGCACCTGAAAGTCCTGAAAAAGAGCTTAGCACTTGGATGGGTAAAAAGCAATCCCATACTTTGACGCTTCAATCGTCAACTGATTAAAGTTAAGTTGAGCGGCTTGTGGACCGTCGTCCGGCAAGGTGGTATCATCAGCACAATTCAAGTCAAAAACGACTACCTGGGAGGTCAACGCCAGTACTCGAGTCTTCCAAAAACATTTTTGTGGACATCATCAAAGGGAAAGTAGAAGAGTAATGGGAAGATAGCGAATCCTTGCCGAACTCCAGAGACGATAGCAAAGGAAGGAGAAAGCTTGCCATAAGCCCTAACTCAACCAGGGCACCAGGGATATCCAGGTACAAAACAATCGTTGCCTTTTAGTACACATGGTGAAGTGTGAAAAGTTGATCGATGCAGCCACAACAAGGGCCGAACGCAGCCCGTTCTTCTCGCTGTAATGATTCACGAATTAAGGATAGCTTTCGAAGCATGATGGACACCAGAACCTCGCAAATGACGGGAACCAATGTGATGCCCCTGTATTCGAAGCACATTGTGCGCAGGACTTTTATGAAAATGTGGATGACTATCGGCTCACTCCAAGATGATGCGACCTGCTCTCTTGACCAGACTGCTGAGAACAAAGCGGTGAGCCGTCGTGCCAGTGAATAGCCACCATCTTTAAAGAGAGCAGGAGATAATCCATCAGATTCGAGTGCTTTACGACTCTTCAGTAGGCGGAGTACTTACCAGATATCCTGATGAGACAGGGGGTGTGGGGACAAACCACACATCATCAGTGCGTGCTCCAGAGGTAACGCACACAATTCTTTCAACCGGAGGTCACAGTTTCATTAGACTAAAGCAGTCTTAACGTCTGAGCGAACCGTTTCTGAACGCACAACTCTGGCTCGTACAGCAGGGTTATAAAACGGACTAATCACTTGGGAAACGAAGGCACCATCATTTTAATTGGACAAACGCGCGCTAGGCAAGGAAATGCAGGTGACTTGGTTGCCGGTTCAGTGATCACATTTATGAACAGAGGTACACAGAAAATGGCGCAACCAGTCTGGTTTGTGATCATGCTTTTTGAATTACACAATGCTGGCTTCAGACACTGTGGCCTCTATATCCACTTGGTCAACGCGCACAGAAGACAAAGGTTTTGCGTATGCGAGTGAGGAGAGCAATTTGTCCGTGTTGGCTAAATGTTAGCTTCATCAAAAGTCCTGTTGGAAATGGCTCGCGCTCTAGTTAGTAGCTCTCGACCAACATGTTGCAAAAATCACTTTTGGCGTTATACTGGAGCAAGGAACAGTGCGTGCTTGTTGGAAGACCGCAAATGGAAACAACTATAGCAGGCAGATCGATAAAAGTAAGGGATGCACAAGTTTGTGTTGGTTCAGATTGAAACGGCGCACTGTTGTGTAGTGAGATCAAAAACATACCGTTTCATAGCCTGCTGGCCACGTACTTCTGCCTTGATACGGTTCTCACACGCTTGTAGATTATGTTCGCGTTGTTCCACGGCCATTCTTTCGGTTTCAGTGACGGCCGCCAGTGCAGCCGACTGAATCGGTAGGGGTTGATTTTCGTCGTTCTGAGTCTCTGTAGTAGGCATAACACTGTGGACGATGGCTTCGGACTCTACAACAGGCACCGAAGATGAGACGGTATGTGTGAAGACTGCGTTCTTGGCCGCGGCATCATACACCAGTACCGAGGGCCGGGAAGCTGTATAGTGGATGGTGAAAAAGCATGTTTGTAAGTAAAATGCTGCTAAGAAAAGAGTAATGTGCATCATCATCAATACACGTTATCAGAGGGAGAGAAATACACCGCAGGCAATGTACCGAAATACAAAAGATAAGAGACTAAAAATGACGGGGTACAAAGTAGTTTAATAAGCAAATAATGTAATATTAAAGATCATATTGTGCATTCCGCATGAGAGCGTAATTGGAGGGGGAATCTAAATTGGATGGGGTGGACAAAGGAACTCACAACACAAATGCCATTGGGGCCGGCTCCAAGCCATAGCAGCAAGTGTGTCCAACCAAACGTGTTCACCGTCCTTAGGACCCCAGCAAGCCAGTCGGGATGCACCAGCCGACGACAACTTCGAAATGAGGGTTTTCATTGCTCTCGACAAAGTCATCGCTTGGCCACCTCTCCTCCTCTTTCAACCGCACCCCCGGCGCGCAAACAATCCACGTCGCGGGAGTCGGTAAGCTGGCATGAGCAACACGTGGCCCAGCCATCGGAGCCTGGTGCGTGATATAATGGTGCTGAGCACTTCACTCGCTCTTCCTGCACCAAATACGCGACGCCGAACACGCTCTGCCTACGCGGTGCTCCCACCAGACATGAGCTAAGCTGCGAAGGCCGCGATGACTGAAAGTGACTAGCCTCTTTATGTATGCCGACATGATGGGCCAGGTTTCACAGAGGTAATGGAGAGTTGAACGGATGGCTGCATTAGAAACTCTGCCTTTCACAGCTAGAGTGATGTCGTGTCGGCACCATAGTTGGCGGAGCTTAGCCAATGCACATCGAGCTTTTGCTATACGGTTCGTAACCTCGTTTCCGAGCCCACGGACGTTAAGATAGCTGCCTAGATACTTGAATTCCTGAACAAATTCCAGCTGAGCACTACCAAGGACCAGCGCAGGGGTGGGTCCCTGCCAATCTTGGAGAAGTACTTTGCATTTCGATGGAGCAAAGCATAGCCCAAAACGATTGACATCCAGTGCTAATCGGTCCAGTGCTACTTGGCATGTTTGGGAGCTATCACAGATTAGGGCAATATCGTCCATATACTCTAAGTCAAGAAGCCGCTTACCAGGAAGTACCTAAACACCTTGTAGGTCGTGTCTCGCGAACGCTGCTTCCATGATTTCCTTAATAGCGAAGTTGAAAAGGAAAGGTGACGGAGGGCATCGTTGCCTCACGCTGCTAGAGACATTGAAGGGCGGCGACAGTTTGCCGTAATCCCCACTCTGCCCGAACAATGCGCGCACGGCGCTCTGATAAGAGTTATATATTTATCGAGCACACCTTTCTTGAGCAGACATGCTCAAAGGACACGTCGATCCATCGAATCGAAGACACCTTTTATGCCGAGAAACAGGACAACGGTGGGTCGTCAGTAAACATGACGGTGCTCCAACAATTGAGCAAAGTGAAGATGTGGCCGACGCAGCCCCGACCACGACGAAACCTGGCTCGTTCCTCATGAATCTGGCTTTCATGAGTGCCAGTCAGTCTGTGAAGTATACCAGAGGCAAGCAATTTGGAGGCGATGGAGATCAGACTGATTCCTCCCATCAACAGTAATACATCAGACATTTGAATTCACGCTTCGCTGCCATACAACCATGAGGACCTATGGAATAAAGAATAAGAAGAGGGAGAGAAGGCGGACTTACCTGAAAACCTTAATACCCTAAGCAAACATTCAGAGTCAATGTGCCTACACCTTGTGTAGACAACATACAGCTAGGTAACGTGCAAAGATAAGGCGGCTTCTGCGAGACAGCTTCCTTACGGCTTTCACTGCCCCGCGTCATAATCAGCCATTACCCCGCAGATAACTCAGCAGCAAACACACTTTAAACACACAATCCGACCAGGAGACGGCAGCAGACGAGCCGATGGTGTTGGTTGCGAGCCATGTCCTGCAAAGTCTCGAGCCGAGCACAAGGCGAATCACATGGACTCCAGCCTGGAAGGCGAACGGACCAACGACACCCAGTTTGGTCGCCAGTGTCTTCATTTCACGCTGCCAAGTCAACTTCTGTCCACCGCGAGCCTCGCGCCACCCTACACCTGGTAGACTGAACAAGGCCCTCCTAGGTAAGCGGTGACCAGGCATGCGTAGCACGTGCCCGAGCCAACGCAACTTATTCAGTGCTATCCGTTGTTCTAGGGAGCAAGCATGATCATCACTATTTAGTACTCGTCTACGCACATCATCGTTGCGGACACGCTGGTGCCATCCGACGCCAGCAATGCTTCGCAGGCAACGATGATAAATACTTGAAGGCGCCTCAGATCTTCAGACCGAAGTGGCCAGGTCTCATTCCCAGAGAGCAGAACGGCCCTCATTGTGGCCTTGTATACACGGCCCATCAGAAAGGGAGCCCCCTTGAAAATTGGGACCATAACGGAGCGGCTCCAGTCTGTCGGGATAGCTTCCAGCTCCCAAAGTTTACCAGTAGTTTGTGTAAACCATCTACAAAAGCAAGTCTTTCGAATTTGAAAAGGGCTGGAGAATTCTATCTGACCCTGTGGCAGTCCTATATCATGTAAACTTCTGTGCGTCAGGGCGGATCCAAGGAGACGACCCAGGGAGAAAGGTAATCAATGCTGGAAAAAGAAGGTGATAACTCAAATTGATCAAACTACCTTTCATTTTTCAACCCAACGCTCTAGACGTTTTAGAAATAGGTAAATGTTTTAATCCCGACAGTGCAGGACATTGTCTAGAAAGGCATGAACATAGTAATACAGACGCGTATGATTAATAATTGAACAAGGATGTTAAAAATTAACCAGTACACATGGGAGTTATGTTGTATGTATGTATGTATTCGATTTCCATAACATTTTTGTGTTCGTGGCATTCCGTGAACTATACTTCCTGACCTCGTGCACTTAGCTAGGATCTGTTTGTAAACAACTTATTACATATGCTATTTACTTAAGGTTTATATCACCGTTTCCTTATGCATTAATCGAGTTTTTCTCTTTTTCTTTCTCTCTCTCTCTCAAGTGTTTGGCTGTTGTTTGATATCCCCGGTGTGGCTGCGCTTGATGTGCATGTTGACAAGGTGCCTACCTGTTTATTACCCACCACCTCGTCCATACTGGCTCCAGGAGACAGTTGGTCGTTGCTGGAGGGGACATGGTGCACTGTCCCTGTGGCCGTGCTAGGCTCGAAGAGTGGTTCCATGCAGTCAGTGTGGAGCGGACTACGGTCCAGCCACCGCCTTGTGTGCGCTTGATTCCCAAATACAGCGTGTTTGTGTTTGTCTGTGAAGGAGTGTGGGCCGGCTCCGTTGATGAAACGTGGCTCCCATTCACATGCCTCCCGGTCTTATTCCTTCGGGTTTACACTGGATATGGGGTATGTGGTTGGAGCTGTGGGTGGTGCAGCGCAAGCCATCCATGGTCCCTCTGTAGGCGCAGGCGTCCTGTGGCTTGCCACAGTGACAGGCAAATCCGAAACCGGATGCCGCCAACCACGTATGTAAGTGCTGAGGCTGATGTTGCATTCATGCTGTTTCTTCACAGCAGTTGGGCTAAACCAACTTACACTTAAACTAGGTCTTTTTAATGTGGATAAAATTCATTACATGTTATTTGGTTTGTTCTACGTACTTGATAATCTTCTCCGTACTTGCATACGTCGTTCACGCAAATTGTGGTAAACTTGCGCAATTTTATCGCGTGGTATTTTTTTAACTAACTTTCGGACACATTGTACTTATAACGGATTCACTTATAACCAATTTCTTCTATATGCTCATTTAGCGAGTATTTATGTCGTCATATGCGTTTAGTTTAATCGATATCGGCATTTCGAATGATTGGCTGTTGTTTGACATCCCAGGTGTGGCTGCGCTTGATGTGCATGTTGACAAGGTGCCTACCTGTTTATTACCCACTACCTCGTCCATACTGGCTCCAGGAGACAGTTGGTCGTTGCTGGAGGGGACGGGGTGCACGGTCCCTGTGGCCGTGCTAGGCTCGAAGAGTGGTTCCATGCAGTCAGTGTGGAGCGGACTACGGTCCAGCCACCGCCTTGTGTGCGCTTGATTTCCCAAATACAGCGTGCTTGTGTTTGCCTGTGAAGGAGTGTGGGCCGGCTCCGTTGATGAAACGTGCCTCCCATCCGCATGCCTCCCGGTCTTATTCCTTCGGGTTCACACCGGATATGGGGTGTGTGGGTGGAACTATGGGTGCTGCAGTGCAAGCCACCCATGGTCCCCTTTATATATATATATATATATATATATATATATATATATATCTGAAACGGCGCATTTAGAGACTGAGGATATACATCAGTATTAGTACTGATATTTCTAAGGAAAACGCACGCAAAATGCCGAAATTCTAAGTCTATATCGTTAAAAATACGATAAGTGCCGAAGAGGAGCGGTAATACAAAACGTCGAGGTAAAGCCAAAAGCCACGTTGTGATGATAACCCATGGGGGATAATTAGATAAACAATATTTGACAGTTTGGTTACTGGAAACATACGCTGGGGATTGATGCACGATTCGGCCATAAACTCAGGTGGTTTCGGAAGAGCAGCAACCAATTGAGCTCGCTCCTTTTCCAAAGCACGTACTTCTTCCAAACGAGTTCTCGGTTCTGATTCATCGAGCTGCTTTTTTAAGAGTGACTCACGGCGCGCGCGATCTGCAACTGCGAACCGCTTCTCGGCCTGTTTTTGATCAACCAGGCGACGATTCTGACGTTCGACGAGTGGATCACGCTGAAACACATAGTGGAAAGCCAAGGTGGTCAACAGAAGTCGAAAACACATGATTGATGGAGAGGTTAGAAGTATGTGCCTACCTGCGAAGCTGCTACTACTACTACTACCTACTACTAATACTACTACCACTACTACTATGCACGGAAACGTTTATCTCGGCTGATAAAGAACCGATTGTAATGGAATCACCTAGCTCAGCAAGCAACCCTACACCAAGCCAGGGTCGTCAATATTTCGACTTCCTGAGCATAGGTCAAACTCAAGGGGGCAGATGTGGTCCTAACGTGCCACACAGGCTCAACTGATGCGGTAAACCATGGTAACGCAGCAGAGTTAGTGAACTGATGCTCAAAACGCCCGCCGTGGCTATGAATCGTTTCGCTTCCTCAGATGGTGTGCCAACTAAGTTTGAGGGCAGCCAAAACTCTCTAAAAACATTGCGGACATTGTACAATTGACTTTCTGACAAAACCAACTTGGGGCTCCCTTCGACTTAACGCCGAGGCTCCAGAAAGTTATATGACATCAACATATTGCAAGCTAAACGGGCGAGCAACTTCCGGGGTGCTCTGTACGGTGCACTGCAAAAGACTACAAAATCGTTCATCGCATTAATCAGAGAGGACTGACACGTGGTTTCTGTCTGATCTCACGGTGGCGTGGAGAATAAGACAGCGTGACGTAACGGGTACATGCAGAAGCATATTACCGTAAGAGCTAGTGGGTGCTCCCGATTTAGGGACAGTTCTTTCACAACGACCATATCATCATTCCACACGTTAACTGAAGGTGAGAAACGTCTCAGCTATCGGACCGCCATCCATCCTCGATGACATTATGATCAATTCGTGGTTAGCACCGCGTGCTATCAGGTAAGCGTAGGGTGACACAATGTGACTGCATGACAGATAATACAAATGGCAAGCACAAAATGGCCTTTCCGAATCCGTTCATCCTACAGCAGTATACACGTTGCAAACAACGGTCGAGATAATCGCATTTTTCAGCAGTGTGTGTGGTGAGATTTCCAGACAAAATGCACCTTCAATGACTGCGCCGAAGTCAGTTAGAACGTAAGCCGGAGTAATGAGTCTGCAAGGTGTTTTCGCACGCTTTAGATTGACTCTAATGGAGGCTGGAAGATAGGTAGCACACATGCAGTGGTTCATTTGTTCGATAAAAACTCTGCAAACAATTTTGGAAAGCAAATTCGATACCATAAGTACATGGGTTTACGAAAACGTATGTACAGTTTGGTCCCCACCACTCAGTGTTCAGTGTCGCACTCAGGTCCACGCAGTACACGTGTCATACGCACTTCATGCATACCATGATGACTTAGTCTAGTAGGTGAGCGTGACCACTCCGTGAGTGTGTCCAAGTTGCTATATCACTCGCACTCAGTGCAAACTGAGTGTTCGTGATCGTCAGGCCGTGAGTGGCACATAATGAGAGCAACCTGTCACCGTTCGCATTCGCTGAACCAATGTCATGCGGACCGATAACATCTATCTACACCGATGCGCCATGCCCATCGCGCGCGTTGAAATCACCCAGCAGAAATAGTCTGTCGCTCCTCGGCAGAGACCGCATCACGGAGGATAACTGAGTGTAGTACTGACCACGCGTGTTATCAGGACAACACGTGGTCGGACCGTACGTGCTTATAAAGGTGGTAAAGTTACCTCACCGAGTCGTAGGCGAGCAGTCATCAGTCGCGCGCTGATGCCTGTTGGTTTACCCACCAGCTGGCCACTTAGGCGATCAGATATTGCAAATCCAACCCCATGTTCACGTGGTGCTGAGGTGGCATTGTCCACCCAGTAGAATGTGTAGCCAGCACCTGCTTCATGCAACTTACCTTGCTCAGCGAGCCGAGTTTCACTGAGCACCGCAATAGCGATGTGGTAGCGCGCCAGTTCCATCGCGACCAACGTAGTGCGTCGCTCGGGGCGCTCACTCGAGTTCCGGTCCAGTAGTGTGCGCACGTTCAAGCACCCAATGCTGAGTGCTTTGCGCGCAGGCATACGATTGCATTGGTGGGCAATCGCACGCGAGGTGGCGGCTGTGTTTCAGAGGTTTGCTTGAAGGACTCCACCTGGAGGCTTTGACTCAATAGCCTGACTCACAATGCAGTGGGGAGCAGATCCAGTTCGAGAACGTGATTACAGTGACAGATTGGGCGCTGCTTAATGGCCGTCACACGCAGCCTTTGGGATACTGGAACGATTCATATATGCTTTGAGACCGCAGCAGAATACGCACCTGCGATCACAGTCAGACGCAGATGAGTTTTGGCGGGTTTGTACAAATTTGACCAGAGGCTGCCTGATTTGAGGCGGGCAGTAGCAAACCATGGACCAACCGGAGGTACCCTCCCACCGTCAGACACAACGCGTGGTGCTCGTGCTCTATGCCAATCGAGCTGTGAGCTTCTAACCCGTAGACCAGTTGTCTCCTATGACTAGGTTTTACGGGAAGAGGGCCATCGAACACATCCTATAATATATACATATATATATACATATATATATATATATATATATATATATATATATATATTTATATATAGATTAATTACTGTCTGTGATACAGATGTAGTGCCATCAGAATCACGGCGGAATAAGAAAACAGGATATGAATAGGAAGAAAAAAGAACATGCAGCATTTTTTCACTTACGGTGTTTGAAGTTTTCTATTTGTTTTTTATTGGGGAAGGGAAGGGAAATCACCACAACCTGCAAATATACACATCCTCCATTGACGTCAGTTTTGAACCATGCCTTCTATGGCCTCCAAGCAGCGACACTCTACATCGCTGATATCCCAACTAAAGAGTAGAGAGCAACCGATCGAGGCCAACTATTTCGTCAGCTTTTTCATGTGGCGTCTCCAAATTGCAGGTTCCCCACCGCGCCATCTCCGGTCCAGTCCAGCAACTATGCGCAAAGCGCGACACAGAAGAGGATGGGCAGGCATGCACAGTACGTGTCTTAGCCACCGCAATTGACGCAGTGTGACGAGCTTCTCAAGCGAGTAGCTGCCTCCACCCAAGACACAGTCTAACTTCCACAATGGTTACGTGGTGCAGCCACGAGACATGCGCAATGGACCACAAGCAAGAGTGCTCAAAGATAGAGAGACGGCGCAGGTCAACGATACGAATAGGCCAAGTCTCGCAACCGTACAGTAGTACAACGCGGACAGCCGCACAATAAACCCGCCCTTTGACGGATAGACGGATGTCATGGCGGTGTCACAAGTGCCTCAGCTTAGAGAAAGCGAGGCGAGCTCTTGAGATACGCATCGAAATCTCGTATCCAACAGCTCCACCAGCAGTGACGTAGCTACCTAGGTAGGCAAAACTCTCCGCAACCTACAGTGTCGCACCACCAAGAGTGAGTGCAAGCATAGGCATCTGAAAGTTTTGGTAAAGAGCTTAGCACTTGGATGGGGAAAGAGCCATCCCATACCTTGACGCTTCAATCGTCAAGCTGTTGAGTGCAAGTTGGATGGCCTGTGGAGGTCACCCATCAAGACGATGTCAACAGCGTAGTCCAAGTCAACAACTCGGCTATCTGGGAAGAGCTCAACGCCAGTGCACAAGGAATTATCCATAGCATTCTTTAGGGCATCCTCAATGGCAAAAGTGAAAAGGAAAGGGGAGATATGGCATCCTTGCCGAACTCCACTGGTGACAACAAAGAAAGGTGAAAGCTTGCTATAAGCTCTAACTCTACCCGAGGTCAGATTGTACATAGCATGCAGTACGGAGACGAACTTCCTGGGGACGCCATTGCTCAGCAAACAGTGTCACAATGCAGACCTGTCGGCAGAATCGAAGGCAGTGCGAATATCCAGGAACGCGACAATCGTTGGCTTTTGGTAAACATGAAAGACTCGAGGATCTGGCGGAGAGCGAAGATTTGATCGATGCAGCCGCGGCCAGGGCGCAACCCAGCCTGTTCTTCCTGCTGTAGCGATTCGCGCATTAGAGATAGCTATTACTATAATGTCGGTGTATAGTATGGCAACTGGATCGCCGTACCTCAGGACAGGGAGCATTTTTGAGAAACTTGACCGATTATTAGTAGTACTGTAGCGAAGTGGGTCATGGACACCAAATCCATAAAGTTTCGCGGCTAGAAGTTTACTTGGTTAAACGGAATGAGTTAGTATGCATAGTTGCACGCAGTCTTACACACCGTGAGCAAATTTTGGTACAGGTGACAGGAGGTATGGGTTAAGGGGGATCAGGCGGACACCTGGCCACTCAAAATACATGCTACAAGTTACAGACTGACGTCAACAGAACCGTGACGTCTTTGGATTCAGAGACTCGAAAGTTCGGAATCTGTGGTTTTAAACGATTTGAAACAGTCTAACGTAGACTCCAACGACGCATGTTCAGTGAGCGTGGGGTGAGTGTAAAACAGTACCCATGTGCCACGGTTGTGGCTGATGGTGATGAAGTTCTTCAGCATGCAGCTCGATTTTCATCCTCATCGGTTTGCATTACGCTGCAGTCTGTAACCGTATTGTACTCGAAGCAGTCTTGTCGCCTCTGCAAAGATGCTTTTATTTCATTGCGTTATGACCCGAAGGTCAACGTTTGGTTGGACTGGGATTCCATAGCTAGTAGATATCCACAAAGGACCGCTGCGAACGTCCACCGAGAGCACTGAACAGCACAGAAGTAATGAGAGCAATCAAAGATGGATGGCATTGCCCGCATTCACACCGAATGGCATGTAAAATGAATGCCAGCAAACAAGGCATATAAGGCG